TGCTCAGGGGCCGTACCATATAACTTTTTTTTGCTTCACAGGCCTATGTTATAACATAGGCCGATGTACAGAAAAATAGTTATATAGTACGGACTCAGAGATAAACAAACAGCTCAAAGTTTACGTTATTTACGAAAAAAAAGTATCGAACGTAAAGCGCGAAATTCAAACAAGGTGTAATAACCCAAGTGCCTATCACCATCACCCGATGACTCGAGGCGGCGCTTATTAGCCACTCTATTAGGTTATAAATCATTCATCAATAACACAAGCGCCTGTCATCTAATGACCCAGGTTGCTTACTGGTTACTCTACTTTATAATAAAAAGTTAAATAATCACGCCAGCGCTAATCTTCTGATAACCCAGGGCGCTGCTTGTGTTTCATTACCATTTTAGTATCCAATGGAGTGGCAAGTAAGCGCCCCGGGGTCATCGGGTGATTGGCGCTTGTGATATAAATTATTAATTTATTACTTATAAGAGCGGCTAAAAAGCATTGCGGGTTATAGAATATTAAGCGATTGTGTTATTAATTAACAATTTATTATTTAATACTGTGGCTAGTGGGTGCCCTAGGTGATAGGCACATTCTTGCCAGGTAATTCCAACAGCGTTGGGATATAGTCCCGAACAGACTTAAGAATTCTCTTGGATCCAACCTCTCTCCCTCTCTGACGTGGGAAATCATTACACTCGATAATAAGTACCAAAAGTAAAGCGCGAAATTCAAATATGGTCCAATGACACAAGTGCCTATCACCTGATGACCCGGGGCACCTACTGGCCACTTAATTAAATAATAAATTATTTAATAATACCACAAGCACTTATCACCCAATGACCATGGTGCCTACTGTCCCCACTATTAAATGATAAATTGTTTAATAAAAAGGCAAGCTCCTTTTACCAGACGACCCGGAGCGCTTACTGACATCACTATTGAATAACAAATTGTTTAATAACAACACAAGCGCCTATTATCTGATCACCCGGAGCTCCTATTAGCCACTCTATTAAATGATAAATTAATTATTTATATCCTAAATACCTTTTACCCGATGACCCAGGGCACTTACTGGCCACAGTATTAATTAATAAATTGTTAATCAATAACACAATCGCTTAATATTCTATAACCCGCAATGCTTTTTAGCCGCTCTTATAAGTAATAAATTAATAATTTATATCACAAGCGCCAATCACCCGATGACCCCGGGGCGCTTACTTGCCACTCCATTGGATACTAAAATGGTAATGAAACACAAGCAGCGCCCTGGGTTATCAGAAGATTAGCGCTGGCGTGATTATTTAACTTTTTATTATAAAGTAGAGTAACCAGTAAGCAACCTGGGTCATTAGATGACAGGCGCTTGTGTTATTGATGAATGATTTATAACCTAATAGAGTGGCTAATAAGCGCCGCCTCGAGTCATCGGGTGATGGTGATAGGCACTTGGGTTATTACACCTTGTTTGAATTTCGCGCTTTACGTTCGATACTGTTTTTTCGGAGTTAGTGATGTCCCACGTCAGAGAGGTTCCCACCTGAAGAAAAATTTCGGAATTCTATGTAGAATTACTTCTGTAA